TCATTATTTCACATCACTGCAAGCCTTTAAACATCAAATCTATTTAAGCATAAACAGTAACACATGAAAGGCAACCTGCAGTATGTATTTGTAGACAGGGATGTGACCATGACGCACATTAGAAGGTTATTGAGCGCACACTGAGGATTAAGCAGAAAGGGTTACTAAAGAAAGCTGATAATCACTGTCATGATCTGACCTTAATGAAATGTGACACTCTTCATGTGACTCACTTCACCACAACCACAAAACTGTTTTCATAGATTGCTTCAGATCGTTTTAGAGGAAATGTCAGTATTCAGAATACTTGGAAACAGAGATCCAACTGTTAATGAAATTAAGCTAAAAATGGGCGCTTTCATGTATTTGTCACAGTCTGCAGAGACAGGCCGTGCGGAGGTGTGTGTAATGGACCCAGGTGCGTACACAAGTGAGCAGACGGGAGTGAGCTTAACAGAAAGCGAGCCTTTAATTATGGCTGATGATCATAACAGAAACAAACAAGAATGAGGGCGGCACAAGAGCAGTAACTTAAACAAACCTGAACTGGGAACAAACTATGGTGAGGCTATGGCTGGGAAGACAACAGACCGGGCATGGGAACACAGACGACGCGACACAGACTACATGAAACACAGAGACTAAATACACAAGAGGGATGATCAGGGGAAGTGGCCACACATGGGAACACAGCTGACACAGATAAACATAAGACATGGCAGGAGTAAACAACACTGACGGGAGACTGTCAAAGTAAAACAGGAAGTACACAGAGGTGCAAACAGGAGGAGAGAGAGAGCACGGGCATAGTGGGCTGGGGAAACATGGAATGAAACACAAGGAGGGGAGATGAGGGCTCACAGATACATAGAGGGGTACACAGGGGATAAAAGTCACAAGGGGAAGTCAAATAAGGAACAACATAACAGGACAACTCAGGAAACATGACCTAAATAAGGAACGAAATACAAAAATACAAGAAACTAAGAATACTGGGCCCACATGGCCCAGGACCATGACAGTATTAAAAGTAGTTTTGAGCATCCAGCTATCACACATGGTCATATGAGCCTTAAAAAGTTGAAATCCATCATTCTTGGACTTGCAGTTATTAAAAATAGTTTAATTTCAGCTTTTAACAGAAACCCTTCTATGTGGATTTATAATGGACTTGTGCTTATGATGAATTAAAATACTGAAAAAATAAGGCAACACATTTGAACCCCCACTGCTTCAGGACTGATTCTCTGAAAATATTTGTAGTATTTGTAGTACAAAAAAACATCAGCTGCTTCGTAATGAGACTTTGCACAGATGAAGGTATAAAAGGAAAAAGTTGTTACTTTCTGCTGCTCTGCTTTGTGACAGATGTCTTTCCTATGTTGTGTATGGTTAATATTAAAACATGAACTTATTTTACTTTTATCATTATTATTATTAACTTATGATTATAGCATTCATACATAATTTCTACTGCTATTAGACCAAGTTCATCTAAATCCACGGACAGAGTTGATGGGAAAGTCAGCACATTACTCCTGTGTTTGAAAAACAAATTCACTTCCTGTCACTGTCAAATCTCTGCTACTTTAGGTATGTTTGTGGTATTTGCTTGTCAAATGTGCAGGCTCTGAGCCAATCACTTAAGAAGTCAGGGAATGTGGTTGCTAAGGTGATGCTATGAAGTCAAACTTGTCTAAGGTGTGTCATAGAAAACAGCTGACAGGGAGGTACGGGTTTGATTGTTGTTTGTGGCTTTGTAGTGCAGCCAGTGACCAAACCAAGGTCACTATCCTTGTTTGGTCACTTTTTTCTTTATTTTGTCTATTTGCTCTCAGTGGATAATATTTCCATTTCCATGCTGATGATCAGAACAGTGTTTGAGGGTTTCAGAGATTTCTCACAACAACAGTAAGTGTTTAAAATTACATTTGAGAGGTCACCTGGCAGGTCGAGTGAAGTCCGTGAGCTTCAGATGGATTACCAGATCGTTAATGAATCTGTAAGTCCAGCTGAACCAGGATTAAATCTTCACTTTACTAGTTACAGATGAATGTCATGTCGAAAACACGTAAAGCATTTAGTGGTTAAGCTTTTACTCAATTACTTTCAGAGGTAGGAAGTAGAAAGTACAAATATTTTGTTCCTGTACTTTGAATTTTCAGGTATCTGTACTTTACTTGAGCATTCATTTTTCAACAACTTTTTACTTCTACTCCCTATATTTTGAAACAAATATCTGTACTCCTAATAGTTTCAGAAGAGACTCATTATTTCAAAAATCAAACCTATCTGAGCCTAAACAGTAACACAGAAAAGGCAATCCTATTCATGTATTAATCACCTGGGGATGTCACATAAAAGGATGTAAAAGAGGCAAAATCATGTATGTCAGGGATTAAAGTGGGTTGGTGGGTTTTTGTTCTGTTTTGTTTGGTGCAGGCGTCTTTAATTTGTGGTTGCTGCATGTAGCCACATCTATCTAACACTACAAAAGAGGAGCATAAAGGGAGTAATGTTTTGTTAAGTTATTTCAAATGCAGTGTTTCAATCAGCTCAACAAACATCAGCAAACACACAAACTGTTTGTGCTGCTGTATTTCACAGGGAGAGAAAAGACAGAGGAAACTCCACTCAGAGATGGAGAGAGATAAGACAGACAGGATGGGAGAGGAAGAAGAGCGCTTAGATTTAAAGGTAAGGACTGCTCAGTGGGATTTGATAAACTGGAAATTTTTACCCTACATGTAAGTCCCTGTTTTTAAACCAGATATTGAGTCTGTACATTTGATAAATGGTTAAAGGTTGCATCAAAACTCAGTTTAGTGCAGTTTAGTGCAGGATAAACTGGTTAGCTTGCAGTAATGTGATTTACCACTCTCTCTTCTCTGGCAGATACTAAAATAGTGAAGGTGTAAAACCAACCTACTCTAAAACCATGTCCAGAACCGGCTGCACCTTTGCTCTGTAGCCAGACCACAAACCAAACCCCACCATGAAATTATTGGGAAATCTGATTCTTTTCCCCACACCGAGCAACGAATGGGCTGTTCAGTAGGTTTGTCACCTGGAGGTGGTTTCCAAGAGTAAAATAAACAAATAATTTTCTTTAGATTCAGTGACATTAACACCAAACAAAACATCATCCTCAAAATTGTATTTGCATTACTGTAAAAGTGAGCTTACAGCTATTCCCTTTAGGCTCATCACATCTGCCTCCATCAATATGTAACCAAACAAAGTAGATGCAACTTCACTCAAAAACCTAAATACAAAGAGACAGCAGGATAACCTTTATAGTAGTTTGCCCAAACCATTTACACACAATAAACAAAAAAAAAAAACAAACTCCAATACAAAACAAGCACGACAAAACACAACTTATCCTTAAAAAAGAAGAAAAATAAAAACAGTTTATGACAAGCACTTTATTGGTGCTGCTGAGCAGGCATTGTGTTTTCAAAGTCCTCAGTCCTTGGCCACGCCTTTTGCTCAGACAGGAAACAGCCACCTATATATATACATATAACGGAAACATTTTTAGAAAAATCACACAATGCTATTATAGCTGTGCTTCATAATATCACTGTTAGAGTTACGTACAGACATTACTGAATTATATTAGTGAAATAACTGTAAACCACACTAATGAAGTGAATGAACGATTTTACCCTTACAAAGTTTCTTAGTAATTTTTAATTACCAGGAAATTTATAGCTGCTAAGGCGGGTCAGCTGGAAATCTCCAGTTTACTTTTTAAAGCAGCAGGCAAACTTATAGATCTGGAGCTGTTAGTGCTACTGTGTGTGCTAAGTACATGTTCATATGTGGAGACAGGTGGAAATATACTGCTCTGTTTCAAATACCTAATTAGAGGGCATCCATCCATCAGTCCATCCATCCATCCATCAGTCCATTCTCTTCTGCTTATTCTTTTCAGAGTCTCCATTAGTGGGGATAGTAATGCAGTAATGTTACTTAATTACTCACTGGAGAAACTAATTTATTATACAATTTTTAGGATAGGTGTTACTCTGTCATGTGACCTGAAACGCATTTTCATATAATTACCAGTTAAAATAAACATGAGGCTACAGTCCCACACACTAACACAAATCCCAATCCTACTTAGAACACAAAATAAAACAGTGCAACAAAAAGCAAAGTTTAAACCCATTACATTACTCGTTTACTATAATATACTACTATACTGTTATTATGGTAACATGTTCCAAAATATTGCTTACATCCATCGCACTTCCCAAACAGAAATATACAAGTGTCTCTGACTTTCAATCAAACCTGTCTGACTGAAGTTTGTCAGCATCAAGTTAATAACTAAATAACCACTTTAACCTAAATCGCTTTGATAAGAACTACTTTAGAAATCCTCTTGGGGCAAATTTGTCAGTAGTGATTTTTTGTTTATTAATGGATTTAATGAAATTCTAAAAAAGTGACCCACAAACCAAAGGATTAACACGGTTTGTCAAAGTAAATGTTGTGCCTCAGCGCTACACGATGTAATGTGTTTAAGTAAGTCCAACTTTTACTTTTTTCAGGAACCATTGTTTTCTCCTCCTGTCATTTTTAACGTTCGTTACAGATCGGGGAGTAAGTGCGTAGTGTTTGTCCACAAATCCATCACTTCCGTTCAAATACAGCTGCAGCAGTATGCTAGCAACCACAATAATTACTGGGAGAATTTTGTCATCCTGTCGGAAAATTGTTACTAGGGAATTTTTCCCTAGCAACAGGTGATTGCCAGGGGGTCGCTGAACAGCCAGTGTGACTCCCACTGTAGCAGACATTCCCCCGTTACTGCCATCAACCTGCAGGAGCTCCTCAGAACCTGTGGGGATTTTTGCCTCATGATCCGTGGTTAGCTGGTTGTTAGCGGACCACTGTGTTACTTGGGTCTTAGCGCTTGTACTTTTTATTGGGTCGTACCTGAGTCACGTGCCTTAAAATAAGGTAAGTCACATGACTTCATTACCTGGAGAACCCACATTAGCTAAATACGGAAATGGCTCCTCCAACATATGCTCCGCTTTGCTCCATTTCGCTGTTGGTCGGCGTCTTCGTGTTTGTCTCAGCAGGTGAGATTTAACTTTTGAAACTAAAGAACCCCCCCACGGAGATAAACAGAAGGAATGATGTTTGTAATCGTGTTTAATTTTTCTGTGGGAAATTTCACGATTACGTTCAACTTTAGAAAGTGAAAGAAGCCCGAGTTCACAATCCAAGATGGCGGCAGTGCTTGTAAACATTAGTGAAAGTTTAAAATTTGTAATCTTAATCATAAATCTGGGATGGCAGCAGCCCTGAGCTAACCACTGTTAATTAGCAGTTGTCGGTAAAGAAAGGAAAACAGAATTTGTTTTGCTCCCGAGCTACGGTGGAGGCCCCACCCATGGACTCCATGGACTCCATGCTAGTTTGTCGCCCTGTGGCATAGTCGGTTATTCCATAAGTATCAGGTCAGGGAGGTCACTTTCTTAAACATTAATATGCAATTGTCATAGCCAGTGATCAGACCAATGAACAATGGCCATGAGTACCATTCACAGAGAGTTGGGGAATGGCTGTAAGATGGAGAAAGATGTACCCTTAGGCCCCCTCCTCTATTCAGAGATGATCTTTCCCTTTTCACGTAAATGGCCTCCTTGACTCCGCGCCGCGGTCAAACCAGCGTTCCTTCCTCTCCAGGATGTGCACATCCTCATCATTGAAAGAGTGTCCACTGGCCTGTAGGTGAGAATCAACTGCGGTACCAAAAAAAGGATAGCACAAGCTCAAGTCAGCACTCAGAAACTATCTGTGACACACTCACATAGTGTGATATGTTTGTAGAGAAGGATGTGACTCTGAAGCAAGATTAAGAAGTTGGCAAGTTAACTCGAGTCAGTTTTTAGTTTCATGAAGGTGACTCTTTTAATCGCCATGGTAACTTTCTGAACAAAAATCTCTATTTTCTCTGATGACTTTCTTTGGCGTAAGCACTTTGTATGACGCTGATTATCTGCTGAAGGAATATGAATTAATGTGTTTACCTTAATAATATCCTTAAGAGTCAGACAGTAGCAGCAGAAACTGTATATCTTGTTCTCACAAGTAAATAATAATAATAACAGTAATAATAATGCTTTTGATCGTTATATTGATGTCTCTGGTTGGAGAAAGTGATGGTCAATAGTTTCTAAGAAAGAAGAATGAAACGTGAACCAGACACTTTTTGTGAGCGCACACTGAGGCTGAAGCGGAAAGGGTTAGCAAAGAAAGCTGATAATCACTGACACGATACTGATCGTCTCTGACTGGAAAGAATCAGAAAACATTATGAATCCTAAAGGAAATAGTGTCATATGTAAACCTTGGTATAGCAGATAACGTTGCACAGAGCCAAAAATCAGTTTTGATAATGAAATGTCATTCATGTATTTTTCAAGTAAAAGTATAACAGTTATATTTCATGTAATCTGTGTGCTATTATTTATTTAGTTATTTAGTCTCAAATAAAACTTATTTATTGCAAGAGAACTGAAGACAAACTGAAATGTAAAAGAACAAACTTGTTTAGATGATCAGGTTTTGTTCTTTCTTAAACAATTAGACATGGCACACAGGAACATGTACATGCATGGATGTACAATAGTTTTGAATGGAGAGGCTGTACCTTCCTAAAAAATGGAAGATATCCAGCACACTCCTTTACTAAATACTTCAAAGGATGCAAAAGCTTTCCAGTTAGAAACAGAATAAACACATATTTATCTGTCCAGAAAAAACAAAACAATGCAGGTAAAGCAGAAATATTTCCTGCTGTGTGTATATTAATGTAAATTTTCATGAAACATGTTCACGATCACAGACACAGATCAGTAGATTAATAAATGATCGCACTGACTTGCCCGGGTGCTTCTTAAGTTGTGAGGGGCACGAGGCATTTGCAGTGTTGACATTCTGATTTTGCTGGACAAAAAGAGAAGTAAAAAAACCCCCAACCTTACAGCAGTTTCCTGAAAAACGCTTAATCACATAGCACGACTTTCTGCTCAGCAGATCGTGGCATCACCTCCAAATAGAGGCAACTGCTGCAGCAAATAATAGTGGCATCTGTAGGTGCCACTCTAGGTACCAACTACAGCTACAGCTGTGACCTGTACCTCTACCTACTGCAGCATGAGGCTGGGAGGAGTCTGTGTGTTGTTAACACAAACTCCATCCACTCTCTCTGCGAGAAGAATATGTGTAAAGAGGAGTTTACAGTCCAGCAGAGGCGGTGCAGCCACTGTTCAGGGACTGTCTGCATGCAGAGAGCTCTGCTATCAGCTGTGCAAAGTATGTGATACAACTGGTCTGTGGTTCGTTCCTGCTCGTGTTGTTGTTGGTTCGTCAGCCAGCCGGAGAGAAGAGAGCAGAACTAACATAAAAAGAGCTGAAGTGAAAACGAGTGTGAAGAACAATGAAAATCTCTCTGCAGTCACAGATTCCTGTGTCATCCACTTCCACTAATGCACAGTCAGGATTTTGGTGGACTACACTGGAGGGCATCTGAGTCAAAACCTGTCTCCCCCTGCTGTCCCAACAGAAACCTTTATCAGATGGACACATAAATGACACTTTGTGTGTGTCAGTGTGATGTGTTGTAGTGTCAGGAGTCAGTATGCAGCTACAAAGCTTTTAGTTCAGTGTATACAAACAGCTGTAGCTACATAAAGGCAGCATGCAGAGACTGTGTGTTTTTTCTTCTTTAAACTTTTTACTTCTTTTCTCCTCTTTCAGATCAGAAAATCATCCCAGCTAAATCTGGACAGAAGAACGTCACTCTGCCAAGTCGAGCTCCAAACAACAACGTCATTATTATTGTAGAGTGGAGCAGAGCTGACCTGGGGGAAGAATATGTGCTTCTGTTTCGGGATAAGAGGCTCAATCCAGACGAACAGCATCCATCTTTTAAGAACCGGGTGGATCTGCAGGACAGACAGATGAAGGATGGAGACGTGTCTTTGATTCTGAAGAATGTGACGATTAATGATGCTGGAACATACGAGTGTGGTGTCGTCCAAAGAGAAGCAAAGCGCAGGAAGAGAGGTGTTTTAGATAATGAGCCCATCAGCAGCATCTACCTGAGTGTTGTTCCTCCAGGTGAGTGAGTAGAGTTGAGTGTGTGTGTGATCAGAGGTGAAGCTGCTTCCTGCTTGTTGATGTTTGTTTCTAAAGATGTTGTTGATGAGACTTTGTAGAAAGCAGCTGGTCTGAGTGATGTGATCAGAGTGCAGTAGATAATGTCTGACAGCAGTTTGAAGAGGAAATGGATTCTGTTCTGTTCTTCACTCATCACCTACCTGACAGCTGACACCTCACACCTGTTTCTCATCTGCAGGTCAGACAGGAGGAGACACAGAGGATGGAGGGAAGGAGGATGGATCTGTTAGACTGAAAGTTGGTCTGTCAGTTTCTGCTGTGCTTCTTGTTGCTGCTGTTGTTGGATTTTTGGTCTACAGAAAACATAAACAACAACAGGGTCAGGGTTCATACCAGCCTCCCGTTGAATCTCAGGATGTTTGAAATGTCAGCTTAACTGTGATTCTTGTGCTTTTATTTTCAGTCTTGTCACTGAACATGTTGAAAGACAGAAATCTATAACACTAAACATCTATCAGGTACCTGTCAGACACGTCCAGATTTTAGTTTGGATTTACATTTTACATCTAAAGAAAAGAAAAAGTTCATTGCATTATAGACAGTTAATATCTGTCTGAAAGCATTAAGAATCCATTGATCAAATGTTACTTTTTTGACCAATTTTTAAATGTAATTACATTAAAATGAAACCAACACATTTCATTGTAGCTGCAGAGTCCGACATTTCCTTCCTTTGACCTGGAACGATTCATGCAGTGGGAAGCACAGGCTTCATTGAACTTTACCTTCCATGAAGGAGACTCTTCAGTCTGTTACTGTCCAATTGTTACTTCATTTTAAATAATCCAAAAGCTTTTCATATATTTCTGCTTTATTTCTATATAATTTTTTTATGCTAATTTGTTCACTGAGAAAGTTTCACATATGTTAGTCCTTAATGGATGTGGGCTGTTTTTCTTTACATTTTCTGTGGCTGTAATTATTAGTAGTATTATTTTAATCAGAGGCTTTCTGACTTCGTGAAACTGGTGATGCCGGTTTTATTTCACCTTGAATTGTTGTTGATGTGTCCAATCACCATGACCATGTCATATTCTGTTTTTACCCACATAATAAACATAAACTCTAAAAGATATACAAGCCTTCAAGTTTTCATATAAAAAACAGAGTTGAGAGGGTATTTGGAGTGTAAACTGGGCCAGGTTATGCGTTCAGCATTTAGTTGGCGCCCATCAGAGACCAGACCTATATTATTTTAAATATTACATCTAGAAATCATATAATTAGACAAATAAAAAATTTTCTGTTAACTTTAAAATGAAAGATGTACAGTGTGATACGATGCAGATGACCCGGAAGTTAGCAGCTCACAACATGACCTCAGAGTTTGACTGGATCTAAGGGAAGGAGCCAGGTTACCTTAACCAGTACATACCCTGCTGCACCTAACAGCCAAATAAATATATATAAGATATTTCTGTTTTGCCTGCGTTCTTATTTTATTTGTTTAGTTTTTGGTTTTACAAAGACGGCATTGAGATTGAATTCTGTGCCATAGGTAGGAGGATAGAAGAAATAAGGCACACATTGGAAAAATAAAGCAGGAAAACATTCTAGTATCTGTTTATGTTAGTTAGGGGGCGAGCCCAGTGTAGTCCTAGCCTGTTTGGCGCCCTGGGCGAACACTCCCTCTGGCCATTAACATCAACACACTTTGGGAAGGTCTGGCTAAAAGGAAGAGATGTTCTTCATGAAGGTCATCAAGATTCATAAAGACATTGTGTTGATCTCCTTTCAAACAGTTTAAGGTAAATAGTGATGATGCAGTTGAGTGTATTTTTTATTTTATATATTATATATTTTTAGCTCCAGCTGTTGATAATAATATATGTTTAGAAAAATACTAGAAAAAGTAATATAAAAATGTGTAGGTGTAAACCAGGGGTGGCCAACTCCAGGCCTCAAGGGCTGATGTCCTGCAGGTTTTACATGTGTCCTTGATCCAACACAATGGGCTTAATGGCTAAATTACCTCCTCAACATGTCTTGCAGTTCTCGAGAGGCCTGGCAATGAACTAATCATTGGATTCAGGTTTGTGGACCCAGAGTGATATCTAAAACCTGCAGGACACTGGCTGTCGAGGCCTGGAGTTATGTACCCCTGCTGTAAACAATACTGTTCAATTTAAGATAAATTTGACAAAGAAAACTTGAACAGAAGAACAGGTGTTCCAGCAGACAACGTTTCCTTTCATAATTGTGCTAATCACATACTTGTGCAAAAATAAAAGGCCTTCTGTAATCATTAAACACATATAAAACTCAGCTGTAGTGATTGTGCTGATCTGCTTGCATCCATGTTAGTGTTTAAAATCCAACATCTCCCTCTAGTGGCCAAATATAAACCATGTGTGAGTATGAGTTTAGAAGAGTTTGACAAAGAAAACCCAACAGATGTTTCAGAAGACATTTGTGTACTTGTGCAAACATCAAAGAGCATCAAACTCAGTTGTGTTGAAACCTCAATTTGATGATCTGCTTGTATCCATGTTAGTGTTTAAAGTCCAACATCAAAATCAAATCAAATCACTTTTATTGTCACATCACATGTGCAGGCACACTGGCACAGCACATGCGAGTGAAATTCTTGTGTGCGAGCCCCACAAGCAACAGAGATGTGCAAACACAACAACACAAACGAGCAAAATACAAGAATGGCCAACCTGAAACTAATAAATATATGTACAATATATAATAGTGTATGCATTTCTGGATGTGTATACTAAATATTTTCCTACGTGTGTGTGTGTGTGTGTGTATACACATTTTTACAAATTAAATAGTAAAAAAAAAATAAAAATAAATAAATAATAATAATAATAAAATATATAAAATATACAGAGTTGAATATGTGCAGAACAAGTGGCATCTCCCTCTAGTGGTCATATATGAACCATGTGTGAGGATGGTGTTCATGTAAAATGTGAATCATAGTGTTCCAGTCAGTCATCAGTGTGTCTCTGCACAGCTGTAATTAAAATGTGTTCAGAGGGCCTCAGTGTCTGAATGGTTCCAGTTCAGCTCCATAACAGCAGCGTCCCTGGATTGATTCCTGTTTCAGCTCATATCTGCCTCTCTCACTGAGGGGACGTCCACTACATGGACATGGATTTGTTCATCAACCAAACTACAGATCACTGAGAGCAGAGGACATTTAATTTTTATGATTTATTTTAATCTGAGGGAACTGATAACTGTAAAAAGGCAATTTTAATCACCTTTTTCTTATTTTAAAATTTAGTACCCACTCACTGTCTTTGAACCAACAGAAGGACCACAGACTCAGAGGAAGAGGGCGGGCTTTACTTGGTGTCAGTGACAGAAATGAAAAAAAGCTCAAATGAGTGAGAAGGACGATGAAGGAAACATCTGTGCTGTGTCTGCTCTGTAAGTAGAATCTCTGTGTTTGTTTGAATTCTTGTACTTTGACTGTCTGCTCTCCTGATAACTGATGATGGAGGAGAAGACATGAAAAACAAATCAGGCTGAATTCAAGTTCAAAACACCACGAGGACCAACTGCAGGTCTGAACTGACTCTTTATCTTTGCTCAGGAGTCGAGGAAACACAGCAGGCAGTGAAAAGCTCAAATCATTCACTCATTCATTATATCAACACAGCTGCACAGTGGACACATGACTTTACTGTGTTATTTAAATGCAGTGGGTATTTTGCTTATACTGACCCAATTTTGAGATAACTATAATAAGAAGGAAATATGTCTGTGAAGGTTCTCAGTCATCCAGGTCATCGTAGTCAAAGGAGCTTGCAAAGAAAAGCGTCTGGACTTCTTTAAGTTGCTTGAAGACGTTTCACCTCTCATTCGAGAAGCTTCTTCAGTTCTAAGGTCAAATGGTGGAGAGTCCCAGATTAAGAAGGAAACATTTTTTGTATTTTATTCCAAGCATTTACAGAGTCCAAAGAGTCCAAAGATATTCCTTGAGCTCTATTTTTTTATTTATTGCATTTCATTTTTGAAACAGTTTCCTATTTTCTGATGTCAGAATTTTATTTTCTCCCTCAAGGGAAGACGTAGGTAATCAGTTCACTTAATTTGTTTGTCCATGTCTGGCTGTCCATGTCAGCCAAATGGCTGCTCTCTGGGAGTTTAAGTGCTAAAAACTGAACATCCACAATTTTAAATATATCACTGAGTTGCTTTAATTTCAGTAAAGATTTCTGTCAAGGTCACACCCAACGTAAAAAACAAAACTGTATACTGCAAACAATTTCTTTCTTTTTCTGTTATATTTTTTTAATTGTTTTTAAAAGCATCATCTTTAAACTTGACATCTATATAGTAGCCCTTGGAATGAGTTACCAAGGCTGGCCAAACATTTGACCCTCATTGTTAGGGCCCAAGCTCAAAAATGCAATGAACCATGTTGATTAATATAGAAAGAGCATGGAGGGAGCTTTGAAACAAAACTTTGAAACAAAATATACATATTTTTTAGTACAATGCCATATGGTGTCACAATAATGCCATAAAGTTTCACTCACAAACTGCATGAATATGTCTTAAAATGTAAAGTTTTCACAAATCATAATTTCAGTCAATTCTGCTACTCATCTAGATAATAAAATACACCATTTTAGTAGGTAAGGCATCAAGGACATTGGCCAAAGGTCAGCCTACAGTGTTATTAAAGCACGTTATAACATGTTGTAATACAAAATGTCATAAAATATCCACATTTTAGTTTAGCCCTTTCACTATGCTTGGAGTTGTACTCTGAATGCTCTTACTGAAACATGCTGGCGACATCAAAGAGAAAATGAGCAGATATATCAGGGAGGCGAGTTTGTGTATTTGTCAGCTGTTTGTGTGGAGTTGTTCTTTATGTTCACCTCAAATCAACCTGAGTGTCATTTCTCTTTAGTTCTGATCTCACTGCTGAGCTGCACAACAAACCAAGGTCAGTAACCTTCTTCTGTCACAGTTTAAACCTGAGAAATGCTCACTGATATGACCTGATTGGGTTCATGTTTCAGAATGGTGCTTGCATACAAAACTGAAACAAGTGAATAAGCAAAATACATTTCACAACCATAATAGTTAGGAGAAAATTGCTGTAAAGCAGAGAATTGATTTTTCATTTTAACCCTCACAGCTCGTCTGACTGTGAGTCCCAGCAGCTCTCAGTTCTTTGAATATGACTTTGTGTCTCTGAGCTGTGAGGAGAACGACAGCTCTGCTGGATGGACTCTGAGGAGAAACACAAGCACAGAAACCAGAGCTGAATGTGAGGAGTGGGGAACGCCAACTAGTTTAGTTCATCCTTCCTGCATTGTCACTTACATCATCCTATTAGACAGTGGAGTTTACTGGTGTGAGTCCAGAGAGGGTCCCATCAGTAACATGGTTAACCTGACAGTGACTGGTAAGCTGAGTGTGTGGAGTTAGTGTTGATGAAGCTGTGTGTAAATGGATGAAATGCTGTAGTTTGTCTCTGTGTTGAGGTGGATCAGTGATCCTGCAGAGTCCTGTCCTCCCTGTGATGGAGGGAGATGACGTCACTCTGCTCTGTAAAACAAAGACCACTCCCTCCAACCTCCCAGCTGCTTTCTATAAAGATGGCTCCCTCATCAGGAAGCAGCCTACAGGTCACATGACCATCCAGCATGTTTCCAGGTCTGATGAAGGCCTCTACAAGTGTGACATCAGCGGTCATGGAGAGTCTCCATCCAGCTGGATCACTGTCACAGGTGACACACTCACCTGTCTGTGTTTCTGCAGCTTTCAACATTCACAATGTGACGACAACTTAATGACTGTGTTTGCTTTATTTTAGGGGAACACACCACCACACCTCCACCTACATCCACACCTCCACCTGGATCCACACCTCCTCCTGATTCCACCTTCATCACTCTTCCTCCTGTTCTCTCTGTGTTGACATGTGTTGGATCAGTCTGTGTTGTGGTTCTACTGGTGTTACTGGTTCTGCTGGTGAGACAGTGTGTTCACAGAAAACCTG